AGACGCTATGACAAGTGCCTCAATTTGAATGGCGATTATGTTGAAAAGTCATGTCATGTTGTAGTTTTCTAATGTGTGTAATAAAAGTTCTGTATCTACGAGTATCTGTCATGGATAACCAAATGGAGGTTTATTTCCAAATTGCCCTCCTTTCTGAATTGTTATCCTTTGCTAGAGGCCAGAGGCAAGAAGATTTAAGCTGCATCCATAGGGGCTTGCAAGGGAGGGGGTATACAGGACTAAATGGACTGTATGAGCATTGTGACATCATACAGATGCACAAAAGAATGGAACATTGCAACAGTACAATGTGACTTCAGTCATTCGGATGGAAGCCCTGGACCAGCCTGCATGGAACTTCCATTTTTTGAAGCTTTTGATTCCTGCCAGGGTCATTTCAGACATTTGATTTCGTGGAGCTCTTTTCCTACATCAATACCATAATCAAGGACCTACCAAGGAGAAAAGCAAACCCCCACCAACAGTTCTGTATATAAAGAGAGAACAAATTCAAAATTGACTAGCATTAATTGGGTAATAAATAACCAGCTCAGAGAGCACACAGGACTCCACAGCTAAAGTTCCTTTATCAAGTAGCTTCCTAATTAGGTAGTTCTTTAATTTGGTGGTTCTCTAATCAAAGACGTATCAAGGAGAAAACCGCAGCCAGTCGCACTAAGGTTACCTAGTTGGGTAATGAAACGTCTGCAACAAAACAACCGGGTTTAAACAGCACCATGGACAGCACCACATATAAGTTCCCTGATGGGGCAAGTTTTCAAAAAAAAAAAAAACTTGTTTTTGGACAATTTTTGATAGACCTGCTTTGCATCATTCCTTCCCTGGTCAACTACAAACCTTGCAACTTTAGGAACAGTTGGAAACTTCCCTGCTCCCCTGTTGGATTTGAGCATCCTTCAGTTAGCTGTTATTGTTGCTTTATGTTTCCCATAGAGCTGTTTCAGTCTGCCCTAACTTTACAAGGTTTGAGTGCTTTTAATCTGGACGGAATCCCAGCTTTGGAGTTGTATTTTTAATAGTGAAAAGCACATCACAAATATTGTCAAGAAAGAAACGGTTATGGAGACCGCTACAAAACACCAGTAAAGTTTGTAGCTTAAGATCTGTAGATCTAGTTTTGGTCACCACACTACAGAAAAGATGTTTGGAAGAAGTATGGAGAAGAGCAACCAAGATGATTAAAAGCCTGGAGACAAAAACATATGAAGAATGGTTGCAGGAATTGGATATGGCCAGTCTAGAGAAATGAAGAACTAGGGGGGACATGATAGCAGTGTTCCAGTATTTGAGGGCTGCCACAAAGAAGAGGGAGTCAAGCTATTTTCCAAAGCACCAGAAGGCAAGACAAGAAACGACGGATGGAAACTAATCAAGGAGGGAAGCAACCTGGAATTAAGGAGAAACTTCCTAACAGTGAAAACAATTAACCAGTGGAACAGCTTGCCTTTAGATGTCATGGGTGCTCCATCACTGGAGGTTTTTAAGAAAAGACTGGACAGCCATTTGTCTGAAATGGTACAGAGTCTCCTGCTTGAGCAGGTTGGATTAGAAGACCTTCAACGTCCCTTCCAGATCCATTTTATTCTAAACAGCAGATCATCTTTCTGTGCACTGGTGAACCACATTGGTACTGTGGCAATGTGGTAATCAGACAGCAGAGGGCCTGCATTGTCCACAGAAGCATCACACATTGGACGGGCGCAGCAATTTCTGGAGTGGAATGTTATTAAATTTGCTATTATTGCTGATTGGATCAGTATATAAGCTTTGCAAGGCAACAGCTGGTGGTGCACCCTTAAATCAAGGTCTGATCTGCACATTTAAGCTTGCAGCCCTTTTCTGTGCTTAAAATTGATTTTTTTTTCTCCCTCTCTCCTTCCTTCCCTACATGCCCACACACACACACAGACACACACAGAGAGAGAGAGAGAGAAAGAGAGAGAGAGAGAGAGAGAGAGAGAGAGAGAGAGAGAGAGAGAGAGAGAGAGAGAAAGATGCAATCTGTGTGCGCATGCTGCATTGTTGCAGCACAACGCTATTTCAGATTGAAGAAAAGTCACTCCTCCTGAAACACTATCAATCAGATTTATTCCAGAGTCTTTCTGTTTATAATTCACCAGTTTAAACCTACTCATGAATCTGGTCTGTGCAATGAAGTATTCTTTTCTCTGTCTTGGTCACGCCGGCTGGGACTGAATTGCTTTGCTTCGGTTCAGAGCGTTGAAAGGAGTTGAGTCGATTCGGCCAGCCCGCTCAGTGAAAAAGTGGCTCCTGTTGTAGACTCTGGTGCCCCTTTTGTGTTAAGGGACAGTACAACAGAATAGACCTGGAAGGGACCTTGGACCCAGGATCTCTCGTATCCTGCTGCATAAACTAACCTGAGATTCCGAAAAAAGAAAATAAAGGCTGGATTTGTTTGTGTAAAGACTCTTGATGCAGATTACAGCTTCCAAGATATTTCATCTCTGGATATTTCTATCTTTCCTTCCTTCCTTCCTTCCTTCCTTCCTTCCTTCCTTCCTTCCTTCCTTCCTTTTTCTTTCTCTTTTTTTCTCTCTCTCTCTCTCTCTTTCTCTCTCTCTCTTTCTTTCTCTCTCTTTCTTTCTTTTTTCTTTCTCTTTCTTTCTCTCTCCCTCCTCCCTCTCTCCCTCCTTTTCTTCCTCTCTACATCATTGAACATCATGACTGTAGTAAAAAAAAACTGCACAAAGAAAAAGCCTAAAACGGGATTAGATTTGCTTTCCTGTTCGATCTCTGTCTCTATCCAAGCCCTGCTTTCACAACTGCAACAATACACATAAAACCATTGTCTTTCTACTGGTGCTTCCGTGCAGAAATTCACAAGTGCTTAGACAATATGGCAGTGTTGCTGGGGCCTAAACTAATTGCACATGCAACAAAACATGCTTGGCCTGACAATCCAGACTTTTCCTTTCTACATTTGGCCTGCTCTGAACTAAAGAATGAAAGGGAAGGGTGTCTGGCTGGGATAACCAAGCCATGGAATTTGTTCCAGATGTCAAGAAAGCTCATTCTGCCCTCCGAGCATCTGAACGCTACATTAACTGTTTCACTCTGGAGGATAAGACATAAATTACAACCTATTGGAATCTAATTGTACGTTCTTACCTGTTTGCTCATTATCCCTTATTCATGAAAAGAGAGAACACCAGAAAGTTTAAATCTGAATTCCAATAAAATATTTAAAAAGTAATTCTGACAAAGAGCTACTTTAGTCAAATGTGTGTTGTATCATCTTTTTTGGCTGGGGGGGGGGGCGGATTTCAGTACAGCTTCAATTCTGGATTCAATATTTTCTGGGCTTAATTTGAGAAAGCTTTGGATCCAGGCATGGGCTCAATAGCAGATGACATTTTCAGAAATCCCTTTCCCACAGTCCTAGGGATATGATTGCGGAGGAATGCATGCAATTTTTGCAAAAGTCTGTCGATCCATGAAAATAATCTTTACGTTGTGCACGCAGAAATTTAATTCCTGTAAGGGCAAAATAAGTCTCTCTCTAAGAAAAGGAAAAATATGATCTTCTCATGTTCACCCTTTTTTCTCTGATCCTCTGTGACCTATTTCTGGTCATTTCAATGCATCAACAGAAAGAGAGTATCAAGATCACGAGCAGTGATAATACCTCTTTATACCTCACTATGGAGGCGTCCAGTTTTGGTCACCACAATATAAAAAAAAACATGTTGAGTCTCTCCAAAGAGTGCAGAGAAGAGCAACAAAGATGATTAAGGAACCGGAGGCTAAAACACGCAATGAACAACTGAGGGAATGAGGTACGTCTAGTCTAACAAAAAGAAGGATTAGGGGTGATACAATAGCTGTCTTCTAGTACTTGAGGGGCTGTTGCAGACAAGAGGGGGCCGAGTCATTGTCCCAAGCACCCGAGGTCAGGAGATGGAAGATTTTTAAACCTGCCAGGCTCTGCTTGTCACAAGCCAGGACAAAGCGTGAGTGATGGAGGAGTAACACCTCCTTAAAAAACCTTGGTCCAGCTGGCCCGGCTGGTAGCACCTTGTAAGGGCCCCTTTCCAGGGTTACAGGAGAAAATGGTCAACAGTTTTGAAAGCGGAAGAGGATCCTATGTCCCAAGAGCAGATCAAGAGGAGGAACGGTCTTCACTTAGCACTTTCTCTATGTCTGTGAAGCTGCTGCAAAAGATGTTGGTTCTCCAGAGGAGCAGCCGCTTATTAACACCTGGCAGCAGGTATAAAATCCTTCAATGACAGACAGAGTGACACATCGGTTGGAGGACCCCAGTGGTATCAACAATAATGCCTACTCAAATTTTGGGTCTGAATGGAGGGAAGATCGTTAAAGAGAGGTCCAACCTAGAATTAAGGAGAAGTTTCCTGACAGCGAGAACCATCAGCTAGTGCAATGGCTTGCCTTCGGAAGTTGTGAATGCTCCAACACTGGAAGTTTTTAAGAAGAGACTGGACAGCCATTTATCTGAATTGGTGTAGGGTCTCCTGCTTGATCAGGGGATTGGACTAGATGACCCCCAGGGTCCCTTCCAACTCTGTTCTTCTATGTTCTGTGAGACCTACAGGTCCATCTGAAGATGTCCATTTCACTCAGACTCCAAAGGCAGTCATTTATCTGAAATAGTATAGGGTCTCCTGCTTGAGCAGGGGGTTGGACTAGATGACCTCCATGGTCCCTTCTAAGACGTTCAGATATTTATTCTGGCAAGAAAGTTTGAAAATGGGAAAAGGAGACAACAAAAAAACTACACCCCCCCATCCAGTGTGTATTCATTTGCAACTTTTATTATTAAATGCATTTATTTACAGTAAGAAATGGATTATTTTGCAATTGTAAAAGGAGAAGTGGAAATATACAAATAGAATAAACAAACCTTAGCACAGCATGGCTGGCTGAGGAATTCTGGGAGTTGAAGTCCACAAGTCACAAAGTGACCAAGGTTGGGGACCTCTGCTTTAGCAGCTTGCTCTTTACTGGTATGGAGTAACTGATATAGTAACTTTCTTAGCGCTTTTATGCAATCGGGGTTGAACTGATTGCGAAGAATCTTTATTAATGTGGTGTAGAGATGTTAGCACCTCAGCGCTGGCCTCAGGAGTCTCCGTCTCTTTTCTGTTCACCATCACAGAAGAAGCAAAGTTTGAATAAAATTGGCCTGCTGTCAGCGGATCGTCCACTGGGGCTGAAGCATCCTTTCCTCCGTGCGTTTGCAACACGCTTTTATTACAGTTAACCATAACGCCGCTCGCCAGGAACACAACGGCCGCGCCAAAGCCGATGTAAATAGCAGCTCCAGGCTCCTGGTACTTTGGAATCGTAGGCATTTTGAAAGACTCGGGAAAGCGGATGTCCCTGTTCCCCAAGATGGAATACAGGTTCCAGGAGATGGGAATCAAGGCAATGATTCCTGCGAGAAAGTTCAGAAGCCCTCCAATGTTAAACAAGGTGAGCAAGAAAGGTTTGTGGGTGGTGATTTGCACAATGTTCCACAAGGCAAAGCTCATGAGGGTGATGGCCACTGCTCCTACAATGCAACTCAAGGTCATCAGATCTTGAGCCAAAAATATTTCCTTGGGCAGCATGCTCATGCGTTCGGTGAAGTCCTCGCAGTGGACGTATCTGTTTTCGGGATGAGTGCTGTGCAGATAACAGGCCCTCCAGATTCCGACCCACACCACGCCCGGATACATGCCGTCCTCACTTTGTACCTGCCATATTCTCCAACGCGCAACCACTGTTGAAACAATACACATGATGGATGCCAAGACACTAAGGAAATAACCAGCTAACTGGGCCCTATTAATCCAGGCTATCCATTTGGTAACCATGGCTTGTTTTTCACTTGCTAGTTGCCCTTTGAGTGATTTATTGGTCCTGGAGATGAAGATAGGATCCCTGAAATCAAATCAAAAGAAAATAGCACATTCTATATTTACAGGTGGTTCTCGTCTTACAACAGTTCATTTAATGACCATTCAAAGTTACAACGGCAGTGAGAAAAGCGATTTATGACTGTCTTTGACGCTTATGACCTTTGCAGCGTCTCCCTGATCATGGGATCAAAATTCAGACGCTCAAATATGACTGACTCATATTTATGATTGTCTCGGTGTCCCGGGGTCATATGACCCCCTTTTACGACCTTATGACAATCAAAGTCAATGGGAAAACCAGATTCGCTTAACATCTGTATTACTAACTTAACAACTGCAGTGATTCATTTAACAACGTGGGCAGGAAAGGTCAGGAAATGAAGCAACAAGTCACTCAACAAATGTCTCACTTAACAACAGAAATTTTGAGCTCAATTGTGGTTGTAAGTCAAGGACTACCTGTATGCTATTATGTGGACCCTTGGACATTAAATCCATGAATATAGTATAAAAAACTTTCACCACTGATTCCACTGGGAATATAATTTCCCTCCCATCTGATTTCTTAATGATGCATTTTTAATTTTTTTTTTAAAAAATGTAATGCATACATCACTCAGCTCACTCTAAGCCAGTGGTAGCGAACGTATGGCACGGGTGCCAGAGGCGGCACGCAGAGCTCTCTCTGTGGGCACGTGCGCCGTCGCCCCAGTCCTAGGCCTTCAGCTGGGTTTTATAAAACTTTTCACTTTAGGCCTCTGCCCCCATGTGCAAAAAAAAAAAAAAGTTCAATCAATCAATCAATTTCAACTTCTCGTGGGAAAAAAAAAGATCTTGCAAAATTGGAATTGATTGATTGAACTTTTTAGTCCCACCCAGTCTGCCGTTACCACTGCATCCATGCCCACCCAATGAGCCACACCCACCCAATGGGCCACACCCAGCTAATGGGCCACACCCACTCGGCACCCAATGATGCATAAGTGGGTTTTGGGTTGCAGTTTGGGCACTCAGTCTCTAAAAGGTTCGCCATCACTGCTCTAAGCAGTTTATAAGTAAAAAAAAAATAAAGTTTGCTTTTCCTTATTCGAAAGCCACAAAAATAACATATCCTAAAATATTTATGTTGCATACAAAAAGCGATGCATTTTAAAAGGCTTAAATCAAGTATACTGGGTTTAAAACACCAGTCAAATAGCCAGCCGTCAAGAAAAAGGCAAGGCATCATTTTAGCAGTTACAGAACTTTATGAGAGGCAGACAAACATTGGATATGTTATGAGTATCAAAAGTTCAAGTTTTCAAAAGGCAATTGGACTTTCTTTGATTTTCTTTGAAGATCTTCCACCTCATCCAAGAAGCTCTTCCTTGAAGAAATATCTTCAAGGAAAAAACAAGAAAGTCTAGTGGCCTTTTAAAGGAGCATCTTTGGGGCAACCATGATCTGGATGACTGAGAATCTGCGTAGACTTCTGTCAAAAGTGAAAAAATCCATAACCCATTAATATAATTTAATTTTCTTTCTTTCTACCCACCACAAACTGAATAGTATATATTATTTAGATATTAAACTTAAGACCAACTTAGAATCCAGGTAAAAGCTCACATCACTGGAAGCCAGAAATCTAAGCCACTTACTTTGTAGCCAGATTATCTTCATCCCTTCTCATTGACAAAAGACTTAGATTATCAGCCATGATGGTGGTTATGAGTTTGCTGAAAGAAAACCAAGATGGAATAGTTTAGCTTTTGTTTATAAAATGCATGTGTGTGTAATCCCTAACGGCACACAAACAAGGACACAACATAGTAGGAAGAATTTCTTCTTGGATAATTAGAATAGCTGTAATAGTTTTTCACAAATGATTCTTCTATATTGTACCAGAGTTTTTGAACCTCAACAACTTTTAAGTGCAGTGTGGTTTGAATGAGCAGGTGTCATTGTAAAAAGGAACTTACGCAAAAACAGTGGAATTACATTTGAAGTAAAAACCGAAACCTCCTCAATTGGTGACTTCGGACAGATAGTATAGCAGCTGTCTCTCACCGTCTCCAGTGCTGAATGACCAGCATCTCTTCCCTTCTCCTCCAAAACGTCCGTTTTCAACTGTCACTGGACATTCCAACTGCCACTCCTCAACTGGCAAATGACGGAATTCCAGTGACGAATCTCAGTCAACAGTCCCCATCTTTCCTTTCAAATTACCATATACATTTATACACAAACAAAACAGACAAGGCCAATAGATGTGGTGTACTCCCAGTGTGTTAAATATCTTGCATGTCCCTCAATCTGCTACTTTAGGCTAGGATCAACTGCTTTTCTCCACCAAATTCCCTCCTAGCAATTTAGAAGTACAAAATGTTCAGAGAAGATGCTTTACAACAAACCAAAAAAATCAAAATGTACATGAAAGAGCCGAAAACCGAGAGCCAGCAGTGGAGAAGAGGAAGATGGGCTGGAGGTGAACACTTTGGCCTCTAAGTCGTCTTCCCACTCCGAAGAAGATTCAAACACCATCCAGTTTAAGGTAAGATCTGATGCTGCAATGGAATAAGGCCTTTATTTCAAATAAAATGATTTGTCAGGTGCATCAGAAAGCATCAATAAAGCTTTTAAAGACTTGTTAAATAAAATATCAGACATTATTCAGAATACAGCTGGAAGGGACCTTGGAGGTCTTCTAGTCCAACCCCCTGTCAAGCAGGAGACCCTATACCATTTCAGACAATTGGCTGTCCAGTTTCTTCTTAAAAACCTTCAGTGTTGAAGCATTCACAGCTTCTGGAGGCAAGTTGTTCCACTGATTAATTTTTCTGTCAGAAAGTTTTTCCTTAGTTCCAGGTTGTTTCTCTCCTTGATTAGTTTCCACCCATTGTTTTTTGTCCTCAGTGCTTTGGAAAATAGGTTGACTCCCTCTTCTTTGTAGTAGCGCTTCAAAATTGAAATACTGCTATTGTCACCAAGAACATGTTGATTGTCTTCCACTGAGAAACAAAAAATGGACTTCCTTCCTTCCTTCCTTCCTTCCTTCCTTCCTTCCTTCCTTCCTTCCTTCCTTCCTTCCTTCCTTCCTTCCTTCCTCTGTCCCTCCCTCCCCCCTCCCCCGGGACCTGTAGTAAACCAAGATTATGTAAAAAGATGATCCCCACATAAATCCAAAATATTTTCTGCTGAACAAACAATGTCTTACTGAGGGATTGAAGTTTTTAAATAGCAGTATTAAGATAGTCCCCTACAATTAAAACAAAATGAGAATCTCCAATTCTTTATCCCATTTACTTTTTAATATTTGCAAGTTGAATTGATTTATGGTCAAGTTTTTCTAAAGATCTACTGTAGTTTCTTAGTTTTTTGAGATTTGGCAATTGTTTCTAATAATTTAGGTATCTAAATTATTTAATTTAAATTAAAAAGTCACTGTTCCAAATTGAGATGTTAATCAAAGCCGCAGTTGTAAATATAGCTGGTGGGCAGCAGAGGCATATGATATTTATCCCTATTGCATTTGTAGAGACAAGGAACGGGCAATTCACCAGTTGCTGGAGTTGCCATGAATATAATTCTTCATTCATTATTGTGAAATAATAGCTCTATTGCCAATGAATAGAGGAAGATAGCGAAAGAAAGAAAGAAAAAAAGAAAGAAAAAAGAAAGGAAAGAAAGATAGATTATTTCTGTCTCTGTGTGCATACACATAGTTATTATATGTGTGCTTTTCCCCTTCTATGCTTATTTATTTGAAAATATATATCATATATAGATTGCTTCAGCGTCCTTCTTTCCTCCCTCCCTCCCTTGTAATGTTAGCTAACAAAACTCAAAGCCCCAAACCAGCAACTAAAAGATGATATTAAGTAACTGAGAATTAGAACATAAGAAAAGAGAGCTGGTGCCAGCTGATGCAACAGGAACTTGGGAGCTCAATTGTGGTCACATGTCAAGGACTACCTGCATTTAGTCTTTTCCTCTTTTCTTTAAACATTAATCAGAAGTTTATTTGGCAGAATAGATATTTTGCAGCCTAAAGAAAAGAAGAAATAGCAGTATCCCAGTATTTGAGGGGCTGCCACCAAGAAGAGGGGGTCAAATTATTCTCCAAAGCACCAGAGGGCAGGACGAGAAACAATGGTTGGAAACTGATCAAAGAGAGAAGCAACCTGGAATTACGGAGAACTTCCTAACAATGAGGACAATTAAGCAGTGGAACAGGTTGCCACCAGAAATCGTGGGCGCTCCATCGCTGGAGTTTTTTAAGAAGAGTCTAGAGTCTAGACAGTCACTTGTCTGAGAGGATATAGGTTCTCCTGCTTGAGCAGGAGGCTGGACTAGAAGACCTCCAAGGTCCCTTCCAACTATTCTATTCTATTCTATTCTATTCTATTCTATTCTATTCTATTCTATTCTATTCTAGTCTAGTCTAGTCTAGTCTAGTCTAGTCTAGTCTAGTCTAGTCTGCTCTAGACTAGTCTATTCTATTCTTCATTATTCTATTCTATTCTGTTCTGTTCTGTTCTAGTCCATCCTTCATTATTCTATTCTATTCTATTCTGTTCTGTTCTGTTCTACTCTACTCTACTCTACTCTACTCTACTCTACTCTACTCTACTCTACTCTACTCTACTCTTGTTGTTGTTAACTGCGAAATCGTGTCCGACCCATCGCGACCCCATGGACAACGTTCCTCCAGGTCTTCCTGTCCTCTACCATCTTCTGGAGTCCATTTAAATTCACACCTACTACTCTACTCTACTCTATTTATCCTCTCCAAAATGGCCGAAAGCCACACCAGTCATTACCAACTACTGCTTCATCAGCATTTAGCAGTAGGATAAGTAAAGAGTAGAGCATGTTGGATGAATATGAAGAAAGGAATTCGGATCTTGAGCCATACCACCCTTTCCCTCCTCAGAGAAGAAATGAGTAATAAGCCTGATTCTTCCCCCCCCTTTATTCCTTCCTCTGGCTGCGTTTGGTGAGCCCCTTCTACTCCTTTCTGCGTTTCTGCCCTTCATTTGTCTCACCAGGCTCCTTGCGCTGTCGGTGCAAGTGAGGGACAGCAGTTGTTTGCAGCGTTTTGTCTGGCAAGTTGCCTCTCCTGCATTGCTCAATTAATTTTCAGCTGGAGGCCATTCTCTGCTTTTTGTGACCTTTGGGTGTATGAACAGGAGCTCATTAAAACACGCAAGACTAATTCTTCTCAGGTGCATACCAAAAATGTGATCTCGCATCGGAAATGTTTTGCCTCCACTGGGAATTTTAAATAACAAGTGGAGGGGGGGGGAAACTAGAATGCCTGAGGTTCTGATCCAGGATTGTGTCCAGATGAGAGTTTGAAAGCGGTTCCTGAGTTTGATAATCTTTTTTTTAAAAAATCAACAACTCAAAATACAGCTAAATGACTGGAATGTAATATTCAATCTACTTTCTCAGGCAAAGAGATTCTAGGGCAGGGGTTCTCAACCTTGGCAACTTTAAGACTTGTGGACTTCAACTCCCAGAATTCTTCAGTCCACAAGTCTTAAAGTTGCCAAGGTTGAGAACCCCTGTTCTAGGGGCAAAGGTCAACTGGGATTGACCTCTTTCCTGCTAAAATCACCTTTCCTTTCTGCTCTTAGTCTATGGAGATTCTCAGTCACCCAGGTCATAGTTATCCCAAAGATGCTTTTTCACGAGGCAACTGGAAGAAGCTTCTTGGATGAGAAGTGAAACATCTTCAGAGAAAAACAAGAAAGTCCAGTTGCCTCGTGAAAAAGCCTCTTTGGGATAACTTTCTGCTATTACTTAACTAAAAAAAAAAAAACAACCCCTCCCAAAATGGCACAGCAAAATGAAACCATTTGGCTTAAACAAGGTCTGTGGACCCTAGCACCGTGCCATGGCAAGCCAGAAACCGGGCTGCGCAAACAAACCAAGCCCCATCTTTCATGAAAGAAAGAAAGAAAGAAAGAAAGAAAGAAAGGAAGGAAGGAAGGAAGGAAGGAAGAAAGAAAGAAAGAAAGAAAGAAAGAAAGAAAGAAAGAAAGAAAGAGGCTGATTTGTCTTGCAATGGCTGTGAAATTATCATTGACAGGATCTCTATTGTATGATTTTTTTTTTCATGCTGGTTAACGCTTATAATTTTCGAAAAGCATTTCGATAGTACTACATGATTAAGAAAATGATGTGCTACACAAGCTCGCATAGCTAATGTGCAAGAGGAACTGGGGGTGTGTGTGTTAACAACCGCACTGCCCTCATTTAGTCGCTGCTCTTTGCAGCATTCCTGATTTCTGTTCTTTCACTCTTCCCCCCCTCTGCCCCTTGCCTTCTTGGTAAGAAGTGTGAAAAGAATCTCTGGCTGTGTAATTACATCAAACAAAGATTCAAATTAATTGAGAATGTTTGTTCTTGCCTGATTTGAGGTCGGTTGCGTCAATCTTTGTTTTGGGTTGTTAGTTAGATTGTTAGTTAGAATGTTTTAAGCAGCTATTGCTGCCTGGAGTCTTTCTAAGGGTAGTAATATGATGTCCTATCAGATCTGGCCATTATCCTTGATCTGATCCACTATTGGCAGTGTTTTTTTTTTACAGCTCCTTCTTCCTTCCTTCTTCTTCATTATAACAATAGCCAGGAGACCACAATGCTATTGCAGAATAGTAGTTTGGCTTGCACAAGGTGTTGTGATTCTGTGCCAGCCTGTGCTCCCATCAGCTGAGTCTGAGGAATCTGAGGAGGAGGTGGAGGAAACATTTGAAGGGCGACCAGGGACAGAGGGAGGCTCTGATGAATTACAGGACTCACTGTTTGATGCAGAGCCTGGGCCCTCCAGTTGTGTTCCTGATGAAGCTCAGCTGTGTGAGGAGAATGAGTCAGACTCGGAGGACTCACACCTGATGGACATGCTAACTGATGCTCGCACACGTTGTCAATTAGCGAGAGTAAATCAGCAGCAGTCAATACGGCAACTCCAGGGTAAAAGGAGAAGGCAATGAGAGGCAACGCCTTGGGACTGCTGTATAAAAAGAAGAGGTGTAGGTGGTGCTGGTTGCTAAAGGCAACCATTTGCAAAATACTTCTTGGGATCCTGGTCTGTTC